AAAAAAAGGAAAAAAAAAAAATCCAAATCACATGAGTTATGCATCTTTCAACATATTATATGCACTGTCCATCTTCATGAATTTTATGTGTTTATAAATTCGCTTGATCTACACCATTTTTTGAGCTTTATATTATATAATTAGGGGCTAAAATTGATTTGTAATCGTCATAAAAATTCTAATCATGAAAAGGATTGGGCTAAAATTGATTTGTAGTCGTCTAGCCATGGGAAAGGTTTGGAGCTACAATTTAATTTGATTGTTTAAGATTGATGCCTAATGTAACCACACCCTTTATAGGGGTTGTTATAAGGGCTATAACAGCAGTATGGTATGACAACTAGTATGAAAAGTATATTGCTTTTACTGTTTTACATGCTCTTCTCCTTTGGTCCATTTTTTTTTTTTTAAAGGACGCGGTCTCTATGAGTTAGCGACCAATATGTACATATACGGCCTCCCTCTAAAATCCACTTTAAAGATGAATTTTTTATCTAAGTATTTTATAAATTAGTCATTCAGGTCAAGATGATCATGGATATGAAACGAAAGTTAAAATTTTAAAATTAGAAATATAAATTTTTGGGATTTTTTTGTGCACCATTCACATGTCTTTTATAGGCACCATTCCTTTTTTTTATGTTTAATAACATGCTCCCGTAAAAGGAAACAGCCAAACATACATTTACTCCTTTGGTCAAAATTACAATTAGATGGAAACTGATTGTGGAATCTAGGTATTTAGGTACTCATTTTTTTCTTTATTGCTAAACACTCATATGGCGATTCAATGAGGTCAAAAGAATTATCATCCTCGTGGAGAATACTTATAAATTTTACTCCCACAGAAGCGTAGTATTCATGCTCTCTGATTACAACAATAATAAAAGCCAAAAAAACTTCATGCTAATAATAAATAGAGAAATGATCCTATAAAACCTTCTCCCACCCATGTGTGTAGGACCCCAAAGGATCACCATTAAATTTGGCACGGAACTATAGAAAAGTCAAGTCTCACACCTATATGATAACTTTCCTAAAGATCCATGTCAATTTTAATGGTGATAATTTGGGGTCCTACATACACGGATGGGGGAGGGTCCTATAGGATCATTACTCTAATAAATATTAGAAAAAAAGTTTATATAAGTGCAAGACTTTAAACAACCAAAGTAAAAGCGTACCTTATAATTTTATTAAAGAAAAAGTTATTTTGATGCTGAAAAACCCTCAATTTGATCATCTCAACTTCAAGATATATGGACATGAGAAAAAAAGCTTTCAAGTATTGAAAATAGTGCATCTGCAATGCATTATCTAGACCGTCAATTTTTAAGATTTTCAAGTGTTAATAGATCTACTCGATCTACATAATTTTTTTACTTTAACTTTTATTATTATAGATAAAAATAAAATTGCAGGCCATCATAAAGATTTTTAATATTAAAACAACATATTCCAACACTATTTAAAGGTGCACTCTATTTTGATTGTTTAGAGCCTCGGCCTCATACAAACCACACCCGTAAAATTAATTGTCTTTTGATCACCCCATCTATATACCACGCATACAGGATGTGTGCCACACCAAACTACTGGGGGGGATTATTTCAAGATGTGGGCACTCTTGAAATAACTATTATTTTCGTCGAGTGAAGATTATTATTATTTTATGTTATATATTAATTTTCCTGTCAAGCTTATCACTCAAACAGTCGATATGTCCGAGTGGTTAAGGAGACAGACTCGAAATCTGTTGGGCTGTGCCTGCGCAGGTTCGAATCCTGCTGTCGACGTCCAATTTTTAGGGCGGAATCGTGTGGTTTCTTTTATAGGATCCATTTTTTAGGGCGGAATCGTGTGGTTTCTTTTATAGGATCCATTTTTTAGGGCGGAATCGTGTGGTTTCTTTATAGAGTTGCAACCGTAAACAATTCGTTTAAGGTGCACCTAATTTATTAATTTGGCTTTTATGCCATTTTGGTCGAAATCGTGTGGTTTTTATAAGGTTGCAACCTTACCATTCATTTAAAGTGCACCTCCTAATTTTATTAATTTGGCTTTTATGCTTTATTAAATTGGCTTTAATGTGGGCGAAATCGTGTGGTTTTTATAAGGTTGCAACTTACTTTATTAATTTGGCTTTTATGCCATTTTGGGCAAAATTCTGTCGTTTTTATAAGCTTGCAATCTTAAAAAATTCATTTATGGTGCACCTCTTAATTTTATTAATTTGGCTTTTGTGTAATTTTGGGCGAAATCGTGTGGTTTCTATAATGTTGTAACTTTAAACAATTCATTTAAGGAGCACCTCCTAATTTTATTAATTTGACTTTTATGCAATTGTGGGCGAAATCGTGTGGTTTTTTCTATAAGGATGCAACCTTAAACAATTCATTTAAGGTGCACCTCCTAATTTTATTAATTTGGCTTTTATGCAAGTTTGGGCGAAATCGTGTGGTTTCTATAAGGTTGCAACCTTAAACAATTCATTTAAGGTCACGTCCTAATTTTATTAATTTTGGGCGAAATCGTGTGGTTTCTATAAGGTTGCAACCTTAAATAATTCATTTAAGGTGCACCTCCTAATTTTATCATAGCATGTAATTTGGTATAAGAATGCTTTAGAATCATCTGAAAATCTATTTTCATATCTGATTATAAATTTCAAACTTCAAAACTGGTTAAATTCTAGTAGATCTAGAAACATATAAAAATATTGAAAATGGACGGTCCAGATAATATGTTGCAAAATGCATTATTTCTAGGACTCAATTTTATTTTATTTTATTTTATTTTTTTCATATTCATACATCTCAATGTCGAGATGATCAATCAGAGAGTTTTTGCAATACATTGGACAAAAATAAATACATTGGACAAAGAATAGATAAAGAATCACTATTTGTAATTTGTAGTATTGCAAATATGAAAAGAATTCACCCATTCTAATTTATTTACAAGAGTGTTTGCAATATTTGTTTTATTTTGTTATTTTTTATTTTTTTGCAAATAAACTCGCAATCTTTAATTTTGGAAATACAAACATGGCGGCTATCCTGGTACCACTTTTATTTTAAAAAGATGGGTCAATTAACCTTTTTTGTTGCCAATACAGATTTGCAATCATGTGAAGAACACATCCATTCAAGCCATCTTTCTATTTAGCTTTCGGAAATTTATCAAAATGCACCTATCAACTATTTAACATTTCATTTTCTTAATTTTTTTTAAATAATCATTTTTTTCTCCTCTTCTTTTCTATTTTTCCATTTTTTAACAAATGAAAACAAAAAAATACAGATTTGTAATTATGTGAAGAACACATCCATTCTAGCCATCTTTCTATTTAGCTTTTGGAAATTTATCAAAATGCACCTATCACTTAACATTTTGGTCATCTTCTTTTCTTTTCTTTTCTTTTGAAAATAATTATTTTTTCCTATTCTTTTTCTTCTTTTCTTCTTTTCTTCTTTTCCATTTTTTAATAAAGGAAAACAAAAATGTTAACTTTTTCAAACCAAAATACCCCCTGTTTTAATGAACTTTTCCAAAAAGCGAGGCATAACATGTGCCAATATGGCCAAAAAATATGTCGGACTGGTTTGTGCCAAAGTGGTTTATGTCGGTCCACACAAAATGTGTCTAATCAACTTATAATATCAAACTCTACCAGTTTGACACAAAATGCGTCGGACCGGCTCATATTGAAATTGTGCGGATCCGGCACCAGATTCTATTGAAGTTGTACTAGACTCTTGCTTAAAGAGAGTGGAAAATGTGAGTTAAAATGAGAGTATTTTGATTAAAAAAAAAAAATCTACTCATTTGCTTGGAGATGGATGCAAATAAACAATGTTTGGATTAACAGCGGGGTATCAAAATATTTGTAAAGTGGGGGCAAAACCTAGAAAGTCCAATTTGAAGGCGTATCTATAATTTTCATAATCTTTTTTCGTTACATAAGAATAAACTCCAAAGATTTGCAAATATGAAAATAAGAAACCCATTCATTTTACTGAACCATTTCATAAAATTTGCTTAATCACTCCTGTTACAATTACAAGCATTTAGGTTTCTCTAAGCAAGACACCACATTAACCTTGTTTTACCGAAAAGCCATTAAAAGGAAAAACCACTTCTCTGGCTAAAAATAAAAAGGTCAAGGATAAACTCCATTGAGTAAATCTAGTCTTGAAAATCCGTCGAAGACTTGATAATCTCCACCGTTGACATCAATGAGAGAACTGATAATGGCATACGTAAAAAATCAATATCCACAAATCTATGAAAATACACTTCCCCATGTTAAAAATGGCCTAGGGTAAGAAAAGAGTGGCATGCGTAAAGAAATCAATATCTACAAATCTATGAAAATACACTTCCCCATGTTAAAAATGGCCTAGGGTAAGAAAACAGCCTCGGCTTAACTGGTTAGTGCATGAGGATTTGCATCGGCTTAACTGGTTAGTGCATGAGGATTTGCATCGGCTTAACTGGTTAGTGCATGAGGATTTGCATCGCTACGTACTAGGCTCAATTCCTGCTGAGGGTGAGGGCCCTCTCCCTATGACTCACCCAGAAAACAAACCCAAAAAATCAATTGCCTTTGGGTCTTGAAAAATACGTGCTTTTCACCATTATTTAACACCTGTTATGTGGTAAAAAACATTGGCCTTTGCATCAAATGTTACCTTATAAACGGTAGATATCTTAAAAGAACAGCCACTTAGAACGTTAAATGCTGCAAATTAAAAGCCATTTCCAGTAACAGGATGAAGAATCTTGACATTATAACTTCGAAATTTTGGCTACTTTTTGTTGAAAAAAATTGCTAGTATAAACACCTAATTCCACTTAAATTGCACAACCCTTGATATAGGAGCGCGTTGTGCCCAAAAAACCAATTTTAAAGTTAGCATTTTGACGCTTGTGTACATAACACCTATATCCATGTCCATAACCAGAATCAATGAAACCCAAAACCCCAAAACAGAATATCGAAGAAACAATACTTTTCATCTGAAAAGACCAAAGAGCATTTACAGTGTGCTCCCAAGCAGTACTTTTCATGTTAAGATCATATAGCTATCGAAAACATGGGAAAGGACAAAATCGTGCATACAGTGTACTCCCGCAGAGCACAGTATAACATGGGGAAGCCAAAAAATAGCCGGCAGCTGGTTCAATAGGCTAATCCAGTTTCTAGAACACTGGTCCTATCAATTCTCAGTCAATGTTCATGTCTCCAACAGCTTTGCGCACCACTTTTTCTCTGTCTCCCCCCTTCGTATTTCTCTGTCTGCCTCCTTTTGCGCCTTTCTTCTTGAAGTCAATAACTGCCTTATCAAATGTGCCCCTCACATGTTGGCACATGGACATCAGATCCTGGAGAGCATCTTTGAACACATCTTTAGCAGGGTCACCTATCATAGTGTCCATGAGAGAGAAACTTTAAAACCAGAGCAACATTAACCTTTTGTGTATTTGTTCTTTTCTGTGTCAATAGAAACAATCACCAATAAAAAAAATAGCAGCACGGAACAATATATGGAAAGATGGGAAGAAACCAAAGATTACCAAGTAACCAAAATATTAAACCAACTGGAAAGCAAGAAAAAGCAAAATTAAATGATCAACATGACCAAAAATTGATTTGCCAATAAAAAATAACAGAGGGAGAGAAAACAGCCATACCAGTTGTTTGAACTCGTATATTCACACGATTTTCAGATGGATGGGGAATGCTGTATCCACAAAATGATGTCCTTGGACTGGAAAGAACACAAAATTAGAATGCAGCACAAAATTGCAATAGAAATGAAAGGAGAAAAGAAAGAAACCCTACATGGGGAAGAAATCGAGTAAAAGAACACCCTTGTATTTCTGAGGCTTTAGTCATAATTCACAGCTCTCTCTCTCTCTCTCTCTCCTTCTCTCTCTCTCTCTCTCTCTCTCTCTCTCTCTCTCTCTCTCTCTCTTCTCTTCTCTTCTTACGTTCGTTACTTACGTTCTTCGTTCG